ATAAAAGTTTTTTTAAAAAATAATATACTTTTAATAAATTATATATAAATGCTTTTTTTGATAATATATAAAAATAAAATAATATATTTTTAAATTATATATAAAAAATAATATATTCTTACAAGTAATATATTTTTAATATATAAAAATATATTTTAATAATATATAAAAATAAAAAGTAATATATTTTTAATAATATATATTTTATTTTTTAATTAAACAGTAAATAAAAGTAAGTTTTCAATTTTTTATTTGAATTTTATTTTTTAAAATAATATATTTTTAATAATATTTAAAAATAAAAAGTAATATATTTTTAATAATATATATTTTATTTTTTAATTAAACAGTAAATAAAAGTAAGTTTTCAATTTTTTTATTTGAATTTTTTTTTAAATAGTTTTATTTAATATATTTTAATCATGATTTATAATATATATTATATATTTATTTTTTATTATTACTTGTTAATTTTATTCTTTGAAAAAACAATTCCTACACACATTGGAATGAGAAAACCTTCCATGTACTATGGAATGGCTAATCCCATGGAGATGGTTTTGCCATTCCCATTTGAATGGTCATTTTTTTCTAAAAAATATACCAATCATGGGATAAGGAATGAGTAAGAGAATGATCATTCCATTCTAATGTCATTCCTTCCTACCAATCATGCCAATATAGATTAAGATTTTTTTCGTAAAATATAAAATAAACGAATAAATTCGTCATATTAACTTAATGATAAGAGATTTTGTTTTTTATTTATGTATACTAAAATGCTTTTATACATCTTTGTTACAAAATCAATATTTAGAAAAATATAATAATCATTCATCTCGATTTATTTTGCCCCCACTTCAACCACTATAATTGGGATATTGTAATAAATGGTTTTTCCAAGTTTGCATTTCAAATTAGAAATTAATTGAGTCATGACGTCATACATCTTAAAGAATAATAATGTTGGTTGGTGTATTTCGCTTTAGTATAACCAAATTTCAATTTTGAATAAGAATTGAAATTAGTCGAAAGTGTTTACATTTATATTTCTGAATATGGTAATTCAAACTTTGTTTGTTATTCATATTTAAAATATTATAGTGTGGCGTCGTTTCACAAAAGATTATATTTTTGGTTCCTTGTGCAATGTAAATAAGGTTCATAACCTAGATAATAATGGATCAATCGGTATGGTTATAGTATAATTTGAGTTAGCTTATCTTAACTAATGAATTATACTAGTACACTTTTTGTGTATTAAACTGGACCACAAAGGAGAAGTTTATTTCATACTGACTCTATAAATAAACTAGACATCATGATATCGCTCGTACTCTTAAGTCGTCTGATAATAACGAGCACGTGTATTTAATATTTATTTCTTTGATTCATCAAAGGGTGAGTCGTATTCCATTAGGTTAATAACTTGGTGAATTGGGAAATATTATTATATATATGGTGTGCTGTTGACTGTAGTCGTTCATCATGTACTGGTGCGCCAGGTTGATGACGCCCCCGAGATGAGTTCAAAAAGTTATTATGTCAAACCCTAACCAAGTGGATTAATTTCTGCCATAATAATAAAGATTGAGTGGTACTACTCTGGGATGTTCAAGAAGTTAATTAATTAAATTGTCAGTAATTAAATTAATTAGCAGACCTTATATCTTTGATATGGGAAGATAAATCGAAGATAGTGTACCCCATATAATTGGGGTAAAGGGAAAAAAGTGCAATAATAAATAGTAAGTTGAATCATTTATTATTAATGGCTCAAGAAATAGGGTGAACCACAACCCAAGATTTTCTTACCCATTGTGAGTCCTAATCCTAGCCTCCTTAAAGTCCCTGTTGTAGCCTATAAATAGCCATGTGGAGAACTCAATTCTTTTGCATAAGATCCCAATCAGTCACATGCCAAAACACGTGAGAAGAGTGGAAAAAGAGAGAAAGAGAGTTCCGACCACACGTGTTCGGTAAATCATTGCCTACACGATGTCTGACTAAGGCAAAGGATATACAACAGAAGACTCAATGTGTTGGGCACATCACTGACGACCAAGGAGATCAACGGCGACCCATGTACTACCAGCCGCAGGTGACCAAGGACCGCGCAGCCCCCAGCGACATGCCCAAGCTTAGCCGCAAGACGCGCCTAGCAGTTGCGCAACCCCAGTTCATGGACAATGGCAAACCCCGCGGACAACATCTGGCAACTCTTGCAACTACATCGACAACGACTAAATGATTGCGGCAATGTTACGACACGAAGAGAATGATGAAGGCAGGTTGAAGAACTTCACAAAATTGTTCATCCGACGCCGTTGGCCATGTATGTCTGTACAAAGTCGACATTAACAAACAAGTAGTATGGTTCCCAAAATAATGTTGCACTTGTGGTTCCCAAAATAATATGGAGAAAAATGCAAATATGGTTAAAATGATTTGGCGAACACCGTTAAAATGCTAACATTGTTAAAATGCAAATATGGTTCCCAAAATAATATTGACAAAAATTCTTCATTAAGAATATAGATAGAGTAATTGTCGAAATATAGTTAGAGCTTTTATGTTGTTATCTGTCTTAAGCTTATATTAAATTCTCGGACACCCATATTCCAGGACCGTATAGGCCTGTTACATGAAATGCACCAAAACCAAAGCAAGCCAAAATTTTAGAGAGAAGCGAAAGTGAAAGCCTATGGTGTCATTCATTTCTGAATTTCTTAGTAATAAATATACAATTTTTGTTTCTGTATTCCTGATTTATCCACTAGGATAGTCTGGTTGGTTCTTTGCACCCAGGATAGTACCCGTTTTGGAAACGTCCAGTGCCAAAGTGACTGAGCTTCCGATAGCACAGCTGAGACAGCGACGCATCAAAAGAGAAGAAGATATTTCTAGTTTTTTGTTTCTATTTTTTTATCTTTAAATAGATTCGGGCCATCATTAATCATTTGACATAGTATTCAAATAGATACGGTCGCAGGCATGTCATGCCCGGGTAAGGTTCTTTGCCAATTTTTACAGTATGATGGTTGGCTGTTCATGGCCTAACTGTACCTACCGCGAGTTCTAGTTTAATTGATTTGCCCGCTTGTGATTCAATTTATTCAAATTGCCTAAAAGACAAACTCAACCACCTCAAACAAATTGATATGAAGCTTTGACGAACTTATGTATGAATTGACATTTTGAAGTCTCAGGTCTAAAAGTCTGAGTTTTAGTGGTCATGAATGTGGCTAATTGGATTCAAAAGATAGTAATGACATACACAAAGTATGTCGACTTTGTAATCTATGTCATTTTGAAGCATTTGGTTTTAAGTTAACTTCCTCTACATTATTATAATTACATTAAGTCTTATCTCAGTTTACATCAAGATAAATAAAACTAATAATTGTATATACAATAGATTGAGTGGGGCATACTACTCTAAGGAAAATTATGTTTTATCTATTTCATTGTCCCAATAATAAGTATAAAATTTGGAATATGCAAGATATATAAACACACATACAATTTATAAAATTTTATTTGTAATTTTACATGTACAAAAGATAGAGCGAGTGATAATCTCAATAAGATGCTATACTGGCAATAAATATTAATGAAAGTGAGATGTTGAATGGCAAGTTTTGATGCAATTTACCTCTTCCATATTGTTATTCTTATGGTAGCAATAATAATTATGCCAACAAGGTTTTTGTCCAACTGGTGGTGTTTGTGCCTAAATATGTTAAAGAAAAAAAATAATTAATAGACAGTATTGGCATAAACAATAATTAAGCTATCAGATTATTCTTTTTTCTTTTATTAATAAAAAAAAGTCCATGCGCCATTGATCGCTTAATGTTACCTTCAGTCAAAATGATATATGAGTATGTTCCTCGTATATTTCCAAGAATGGAACAAATGCTATCGATTATTTTCTTGACAAAGAGAAAATAAACATAATAAGAATTCCTATAAAGGTACAGAAACATAATTCTAAAAATAGTAAAGCCATTCTTTATGGTGATTAGAAGTTTAGAATTGACGTTCATGGCTATCTAAATTAGAGCATGATATATTGCCTGCAACAAAATTATGAATGTTGAGAGTACTCCACACCAAACATTGATTTTAAGTCCCTAAAAAGATGAGAAAGCATAACAAGGTTCCATATCTGGAGCCCATAACTAAAGATGTTTTGCTATGGAAAAATCTACTAATCATTTAAAAACTCTTGCTTTCTTCTTGACGCAAACAGTGGCAAACGAGTTTGTTTGTCTTTTTTTTTGTTTTCGAAACGATAGAAATCACATATATTCACAACACAAACAAAACTAGAGAACAGTTAGCCGAATAAAACAACCAACGACCGAATAAACTGAATAGCTGACTCTAGTAGGGAGGACTACACGTACAGACTGACGGTCTGAATAAGAACACAATGCATATGCATATAAACCCACTCACGCACCAATTTTTTCTACATATAGTTTTTCCAACTTCAATGTATTTCGGGATTCCGGGTACTCTGAAATTGTCCATATAATGTTTGAAGTTTATTCATATAGGTAATGTAACACCAAAACATATAAATTATATTTTATGAATTTTATTATTATTATTATTATTATTATTTGAATTAATTAACTATGTTTAAATTTATAATATTTGCGAAATCAGTTTTGAGAGGAACAAATAATTATGAATCATTTAAAAGTGTGTTGAGAATAGTATCATTTGTGCAAATTATTTAAAATCCAAGATGGAAATATAATATTTTTATTGAGTCAAATAGTTTACCCAATATATATATCTAGAAGAACAACAATTATGAATTACTATAACTAACATGGATAGTCGGAAGACCTATGGCGTGGCTTCTTGTGACGACTCTTTTTTCGTAATTTGGTCCTAACATGAGACAGGCCCATTTTCTGTTGTGAGTTATGCATGTCTAGATTTAATGGGCCAGCCCAGAGCACATATTCATCAGAAGCCTTATAATTTTGAGAAGTAACTTATATTTGTCATATAAAGATAAAGTTTTAAAGGGAAGCCTTATAATTTAACCGCGAGTGCGTTGATAATAATTCATCAGAAAATTCTATACATTACCATATCCAATTGGTAGGAACGCATGACTCATAAAACCAGTAATACCAGTAATGAGAACTCCAATGTCATATAGCGAGTGAAATCTTATTTTCCTAAATTGACCAGAAATAGTTTCTAGTTACATCTAATAGAGACAAGAAATAATGTTTTCATGAATCACGTCAAGACCAAATTTTTCTCTAGTTAGCTGGATTTATCCAAGTACATAACAATGGTCTTGTCACGTGTTAATAAATATAGAGTTGAATTAGACAAACCTCCGCCAATGAGTGGAAACAATGGTTGACATTTTGCATCTCAGGCGGTGCATTTTCTATTGTGAAATCACGAGCAACGACGACAGCTGCAAAAGTTCCAATTTTTAAAAAATAAGGATAATGAAAATAACAGTAGCTAGTAAACCACTCGGGGGTTCCATAACGTTTGATAAAGTTTTAACATGCAATTGGTTGAGGAAATTGAAATTCAAGCATCTGGAATTAAATTTCAGACATTTGATATTTCTTGTTCGAGTGGAATTTGGATTTGTGAAAATTTCAAATCACTCACAAATTTTTTTATATTTTTTATTTTTCCGAATTGTCTTCCAATATACAGTACAAACACAACAGGAATTTTTGAAAGTGTGTACAGCATCAGCAATACGTGAGCAGTTCGTAAGAAATAGGAGTGATTTTTTTATTTTGCTTAACTATGCATACATATAACAAATAAGACAATAAATTCCAAGTGACGTGATTGATTTTAGAAACCACATATTTCAAATCCCTCAAATCCAAGCACACGTTCAGATGATTTTTCAATCAATTAAAATCAACATATCATTGTCTTATGATAAAAGGAAACAATGGCAGGACGAATACACTTGATAATTGCTACATGATTCGAAAAATAGCTAATTGACATAATTTCAGAAGTGATATCTGCATATGATTATGTTCTATTCAATAGTTATTCCTAATTTATGTGCAACTTCTTCTAGTAAAAAGGAGATGAACGCAAGAAAATACTCAAGTACAGTTAGAAACTATTAAACAATGTTGAACTCATTGACCATAACAACATACCTTGGTTCCAGCCACAATGGTGCCATTTAGGGGATGCGCAACACAAGCAGTTACACTTTCAGACAACGGTAAAAATCTGTTTTTCTCTTGCTGGCAGTCAGATTCCTCCATGTTTTTAATATCCTCGCTAGAATTAACAAAATTATAAATTAGCAGCAGCTCTGATTTTAAGTGGGAAATATTAAGCTTTTAGGAGTTCCTTACTTGTATTTAACGTGACAGGGAGAGGTACTGTCTGGATAGAAATCCAAAAGATAGATCCCATTACTCGATGATGACCCGACAATATAAATCTGCCCATTGAGACCAAATTCTTTTTATTTTAGAAAAGGTTGATCTAGTGAATTATCTGCTATGAAGCTAATATCAAATTAATAGCCATAACAATTTTTCTATTTCTATACGTTCGTTGTTTAAGTCGTAGGGAATAAAACCCAATTCAGTTTTAACTAATCATTATACCTGGTTCATGAAGAACAAGGTAGACTGACAAGTTCAAAGCAATCATCCAATATTTGTGGTAGCTTTCTTCATGAGAATCACTACATTTCATATTTTAAAAGCTAATAAAGAGAGTTTCACATGTAATGGGTTTTATGACTTACGGAGTTCATTGGAAGCCAACATGGTTTTCTCAAGCTCGAGAGATTCGCCAAATCATTGGGCTCATCCCTTAGGCCTCGAATTAACATGCACATAGATTGACACTAGTGAGGAATATTTATCAATATATTTAAATGTTTTTATTTATTTATCTATTTCCGGTGAATGTCGCGTTTTGAGAAGTGCAATGTACTCACAGCCATGAAGGCGGGGGGCAATGAATGTGGGTAAGTTGAAACTTGTTTGTGTCGAGGACACCTGACCTGGAAGAATTTGTGATGATCATATTACACACAACTGCAAGTTCTTTTTTTTTTTTTTTTTTCTGTTCCTTTTTCTAATTTTTAAATTTTTTAAATAGAATTCTCATTAACAAATATACCAAGTTTGATAAGAAAACATAATTTACCATCCATCGTCAAGATGAAATGCCAATTGGTAGGGGCAAGATGGATCAATATCAATCGAGTGTATTTCCTTTGAGATGATGTTTGATTGAGCCTGTAGATAAATGCTATATTCAGTAAAATACAGAAAATAATGTCCACAATAATTTTCAACAATTATTAGATTTGAACATAAATGGGTTCATCCAAAGTACCAGAATCTTATCATTGGCAGTGTACTATCATAAAATATAATTGGTAAGTGGTCTAATCTGAACTACATGAATTGATTGTTGATTAGAACAATGACATATGAACATATGAGTGAGAGTTGATCAAATATCTCAAGTCACTATTTTTTTTTTTTTAAATACAATCTATACAAAGCCAAGCCAAGTTTTCAGATTTCAACAAAACACAGCATAAGATGAAAATTTACACAACAATCAAATATTACACTTTAAAATCAAGATAAAGCATGATCTTATCCCATTTGTGAGGAATTTTATGTAGAATCAATGAAATGGGCGTGAGAGGAAGACTTTTAAGAAATGCACATGCACATGCTTTTACAACTTTACTATAATAGCATATCTGAGAATGTTCATAGTAATTCAAAAAAATTATCCTCACATGAGAAGTATCAAACCACCAAGATGACAAAAGGTAGGAAGCTTAACGAAGCTTATATATGGGAAAAGGGGAACTTGTGGGCATCAATATACGTTAATATACATACGTAATTCTCCATACTATAAAAATATTAGTAATGATGGGACATTAAATGTTGGAATGAACACAAAACTATGGAGTTATAAACTTCTGTGCGCGAACTCATTATCAAATTTGTTAATTTATTCGTCAACTTGCATTACCTTTAAAGATGATATTTTTTCCAGCTCTTGCGACAACTTCACTGCTGCCAAGGGAAAACAATAATCCTGAAAGGGGTTTTAATAGCTAAAAAATAAACTAGCTGTGGAAATGGAAATTGAGAACTAAGTCCCACAATTAAGATTCCAGAATTCATCTAACTGTACTTCATACAATTATACAAATATTCAATGTAACAGTTAGTACCTTCACGAAACATCCCAAATACATCAGATATTAACAACTATAAAGAACAAGTTGGAGCAAGATTTTAGATAACCACGTAGTAGAACAGCAGCGTTACTTAACCGCGTAGTTTTAAATGGCCAATGGTGATCCGAGGTGATTTGCCTATGGAATGGTTATGAGGAGAGAGGAGAGGCCTCAGCAACACAAGGCACCAAAGTGTAAAAAACAACAATATATGCCGCAATTACATACTTAAGTTCAAATGGCAAAATCAACTTTAAATAACCTAAGAAACATAACATTAGAAATATAAACACAATAAAATTCGAACAAAAAACACAACAATAGAAGCATAAAAATAAAATAAAATAAAATAATATAAAGGCAAAATATAGAAAATGGAGACGGAAAGCTAAAACTAAAATAAAAAACAGAAATGAAACCAGAAAATAAAATTAAACTTCTAAAACTGAAACAGAACTAAAACCAGAAAAGATTGCTCATTCTTACTCCCGCAGTTCATGCCTTTGCGTCAAATGTGCATTATTAAAATGTATCGGCCAATCAGGTATTTTTAATCAATAAATCTTATGGATAAGATTTCCACTTTTTGATCAGAGTCAGAGAATATACTTGGTCTGTTTTGTAGTTTGAACAAACTGCCCTCTCAAGCGAACATTCTTTCTTCTGTTAATAGATGATTATTTGAATTACTTGTAAGGGAATAATGCAGGCCCATATCAGGGGAGTCAAGGAATCTAGTCTCCCTCAAAGGACACACAAATTTATTACCATTTAGGAAATGTGATCCATGGAAACAAACCTAACCCTAATCTTGGGCATCTACAGGGAAACTGTCAAGCTCATCTTCAACCTCGGGAAAATATTCACCAAGGTAACTTAACCCTAATCCTCCCCCTCTCTCATCTTCCGGCACACAAATCGGGGGTGATGCGATTTCCAATTGCACCAGTTGCCTCTAGACATGGTGGCGCCATTTAAAACTATGCTTAGCCAAGTAAAGAAATAGCTTTCTTATATGAACCAATATGAATAAGAGCATTACTATGATAATTCTGATAAAAACATTTTATTAAGCAAACAAATTATAAGGAATCAGAATCAAAGAAAACTGTAATTCATTGTTCATCACACACGATTTGAATATTAGTTCTTTTCTATTTAAAATGTACCGCAAACCTTGGCTTTCACCAAGAGCCAATACCTCTTTATGGTTCCCAAAAGCATTATGTGCTCTTCCTCCACGCAAATCCCACATGAATATATTTCCCTGCTTGCTAGCTCCATATATAATCTACCAATTAAACATAAAAATCCAGGATAAATGTCCATCAATGTCAAGACTGGAAATGAGGAAATTTTGTTATTTTAATGTTAAAAAGAGTGTTAAAATTGACCTCGTTAAAACAAAGTTAAAAATCAAAATTATATTAAAAACTGACCTCATTATCACCACTTAATTTGATGCTATTGAGAGAGCCGATTGAACTAGATCTGAGTTCCAAACATGGAAGATCACTAACTCTTCTATCCCATACGTTAATCACACCATTAGTGTCAGAGGCAAGCAACCTGTTAAGGCACATTACTGAAAAGAGGTCAATTAAAATGATAAGACTCAATCAGCATGAATATATATCAAATATAGGAATAAGAAAAAAGAATCATGGCAGCCTAAACTCTTGAATATTCTTTAAGGTACCCTTTTGCTCAATATCATGTTTATTCCACATTTTTTTTGCATTCATATATTCTTTAAGGCTTGAGTTTTGTATAATGATACAGTCATACTTAATTTCTTTTTCAAAAATTTTCTGCCATCAATAAACCAACAGAGACATACATGTTTCTTAAAAATCACTGGTCATGCATATCTTCCGGATGCTCTAGACGGGGTATTTGTCGGTGCAATTGTTCATTTGTGTTCTTTCTTTCTTTCTTTCTTTCTTTCTTTCTTATTGCCAATCTTTTCTTTTTATTCCTTCAGTTTAAACTCGGACCTTAACATGTAAAATATTGAAAACGCAAGCTTCTTGCAGTTAATTCTAGATTGCAATGCAAGCAGAAGAAACCAACTTTCATAATTAAATGATTATTAGAAAAAAATTGACTAGCTGTAATTATTGACCTTGAATTGTCATCAGAAGAAAATGCAATGTCAGAAAAGCCTTTGTGAACATTAAATCCATGGACACTGATGTTTGGTCTCTTTCTGAGGACCTGCATATAGAAATTACGTAAATGTGCTCTGCATATCAAAGTTCTCAGGTGCAAATACCCCAAACGCCTTCTTGAGTTTTTGATTATTTAAATTCCAGGTTCCAATCCTCTATCTAGAAGAACTTTTGATGGGATAGGTCTTCAATAAAGACGAGTGTCAATAACTATTTTTCACTGATGACAGAAAATAAATTACCCACCTCAACTGGTTCAGATGAGATATAACCAATGTCATAAATATGAACCTCACTGCTTTTTGTTGATGTGCAGGCAACCTGTGACGACAAAGAGCACATATATGAAAGTGCGAAACCATAGTATCTACTGCTAGTGTGATTTTTATAAATGCTTCATGCCATTTAAGATAATAAAAACACTGTCATTCCATAAATATTCCTTTACACAAAACACAGAGAACACCTTTACTAAGATGTTTCAGAAAAGAAAACAACAAAGGAATATGAAGCACATCCAAAAATTTCAAATATTAAGTTCATATGAGAGAGAACAAGAAAAATAATTTATAATAACACCTCATCCTGGTTTGCAAGGTTCCACCGAACAACATCAAGCTGTTGCCAAGTGGATATGTGCAGCAATTGCTTTGTTTCATCTTCTCCTAAGTATAAAAAGATGTCAGCCATCAGAAGTACGAGCATATGAGGGGTGTTGACAATTCGTTTGGGCGCAGACAATCATTTCGTGGTGAGAGAACCCAGCCGAAGAAAATAAAAACTAATTAAGCATATCAGCAAGTTAGTATAATTTAATATTTTCCATGCATATACATATATTTGAGTAATAATGCAGTTACAGTTATTGTTACATGCCTTCACCTTTTTTCAGTGTAAACAGCATTCTATCTAACAAACATGTACATCAGAGGCGTGTATATGATTATTAAGAGTCAACATGAAACTGCAAATCAAAGAAGAAGATCTGTTCCCTTGTTCACTCTTGCAAATTCTATAACGGAACAGGATCCTAGAGTCTCACACTGGACGATGAGTATCATTAACTGATATCTCACAACAAAAAATGAAATCATTTTACCTGGGTTTTGAATAGCATCAAAGTCATGCACGGTCAAGCAGCCTGATTTTGTTACGGATGCCAAGTATACACCCTATCAAACCAAGGGAAACAAACCATTAGACAAATTGTGTAGTCTACAAGCACTACTTAATATAAAAAAGAACAAGGAAAAATATTTTATGAATGCACATGTTCATATGATGGACATTGTGAAATTTTAAATTTTATAATTGTAATACCTCCATCTCAAAGCAAATAAAGAAATTAACCATTCACAATTAACGAATAAAATGATTACAGAAATTAGTCTTTACAGTTTTCCTAGATCAATACTTCAACAGCTGAAATCAATTTCTGATTTTCAAAAACTTGGATAAGCAATAATAATTTTAAAAAATGTGACTCATAACCAGCATTAGTCTTCCTGACACAAAAGAAAAATAAACATGTGTAGCTCTTTTCTCAATTATAGAGCTTGTAATCTAATGATGCCATAAATCATCCAATCATATTTTGAGAAAGAACTTGAACAAATGGCCACTAAAATACATAGAAAGATATGGATTAAATTACTTAGCCTTTATCCTTCATAGCAGTTACTAAATTATAAGAAATAGTAGTAGCACATGAAATACAATTGCAAGTAAACATAGGACATTTGAGAAGTTAGTTGGAATGAGATCTAAAAGAATAACATAGTAAATATTAATAAGAGAACAAGTCTCATCAATTACCTTAGAGTCAAACTCAATTGACGTGACACCGTGCCTAGAAGATAAAAACTTCCGATGAAGGTGAAATACATATAGACATTAACAACAAATAAAAGGATATGAAATATATTCATAACATTCATTTAGATACTACATATTTAATTTCACAAGATGACACGAGAACAAATAAATCTTAAAAATATTTATACTACTACAAGATGGAATTATATCCATACAAACCCCTTTGAGATTCACTCGAGTTTATGCAAGGTTATCCATGAGAACTAAATTGCATTACTATCCCATGGTAAAACCAGAAATCGAGTTTCAAATTAAAAAGAAAGAAAATGGGACACCAGAAATTGAATGATTTACACGAGACTTTCAATTCGCCAGCTGATTTTCTGGTTGATAGAAGTGGAGTTAAAAAGGGAAACTTGTCAAAATTTAAATAATTCTCGTGCAAAATGTGTCTTTCATGAGACAAAGTTAGTGACCCCTAAAATAAGGCAAACTAAATGCAATTCAAAATCATATAAACATTGAGCTCGTGTGGATATAGTTCCACTTAACAAAACAAAGAACAGAATGATATAAATGGAAGGTTCATATATAAAGGGGAAGCAAACCTTATGATTGCACTTGGGAGATTATGCAGTCCAGCACTCATAAACCAATTGTTCTGTGAAAATTCCATCAAATAAGATCGCCACAATCCCAATTAAAGTACAAGTTATGTTTTTTTTTTTATATTTCTAAATAATCAAGGGGACCTAAGAACTTAAACAGCCTAAACTAAAGCACTGACATGAATGGGTTATTAGAATTTCATACATGGGTCTGGCATGGTTCTCCATTGACATGATATTTATGAGGAAATGCTCCAACCTTCAATTCGCCACACAAAAAACCAAAATAAAAAATAAATATAACAAAAATAGTGATAAGGTAAAGGAGATCAAAGCAAAAGATAACCGAAAATACAGCAAGTGAAATAACTGAATTTTTCTTTTATTAGTTAAGTGCAACACATGACAGCAAATGAAAAATAATGGATGGATCCATTGATCCATACCTCGGAGTAAGATTGGATTATGAGACTAGAAAGATTGTGACGATAACTTGGCTCAAACTTCCCATTTAATTCGATGAGACTCCTCTTCCATGGACGGCTGAAAGTCAAAAACATTTTAGATGCAGACTTCAGAAAAATGAAAATTCTTAGTAGGGTTTTGCAGAATTACCTCCTCACCGATTTGGGTTTGTCTGCCGTAGGATTAACAGGAACCAAGTATTTCTCCATGAATTTAAGCGGTGTTTCTCCTTGATTTTACTTGCCTTTCCCAATCGTATGATAGAAAACAGATGGCCGCGAAATATCACTCTCCCGCCATAACCATTTTCAGTAATAAGAAGATCGAGGGCCGTGATTTTCTAGTCCTGAAATCTGAGCTGTATTCTAATTGGGCCTTTGTGCTACACATTGTCAAGTCCAATATGTGGTGTTAAAAACTAAACTTGGGCTTTTTCTTTTCTTTTTTTGGATAAAATGACGTGCTATGCGCGTATATATTAATTATTTATGTTATATTTATAATTTTATATTTTATACAACCTTTTGATTTTTATACGTTGGTAACGTAGAGCCCCCGACTGGTTGGAAATCGGTTTGCTAAAGCTCCTCCTCGCCAGTTGAACGACTCATACCTGCAAAAACTCTCACATCGGAGGGGGTCTCCAGTGAAAAGCCTCCGATGTTTAAATGAGTATGTGTAGAAGATGAACTCTCAAAGAGTATGATAAACGTAATGGCTAAAATTGCAAGTCTCACCCCTATATATAGGGGTAAGGTACTTGTTCTAGGAGCTGCCCAAAAGTGCTGAGTCGACTGCTCAGGCTGTCCAATTGTACAACACACACTGAAGGTGTGTCGCAAATGGTTATAAGGTATAGGCCAATCAAACCCTGCCACGTGTCCTCACCACATGGGGGTTTGATTTTCCTAAGATCTTCCCGAAGGCTCGACCAGTTCTTGGTCGGCTTGTTGTTGTAGGTCGAGTTTCGACCAAGCTATCCGAGAGCTCTGGCTCGACCTACTCTCCTCGTACTGAAATTCCCTATAGGGTGTCTTCCAGTCCAGAAGCTCTTGTTCTTATGACGTTTGACCACGTCCACCTTGCTCGGCTCTCGCTCGACCAGGTGATTTACTCGGTTTATTCGATCGGCCTACTCGACCGATTTACTCTCTTAGGTATAGTATTCTATATCATCTACCTCCCACTCTGGTCGAGTCTAAATGACTCGATCTAAGAGTAGATTTTCGTCCATCCGTTTAGCTTTTGCACCGCTCGCTATTCGTCGACCATTCACCATGCTCTCTTCTTCTATTCGACCTTTTCGTCATTCAACCGTCACTTTGAATTTCGAAATTCAATCTTTCCATTTGTCATATTGGTCCTTTCAATGGTCAGGTTGTCATCGTTGCCCCACTTATGCCACCTTTCCGTGTTCTGCGCTTTCTCGTATTTCGTTACCCATTAAATGCGCCTACTCACCATAGCCGTTAGATTTGTATTTAATCCAATGGTTAGATTTTCCAACCTTTCAACTCTCCTTTTGCATTCTTTATAAATACACTTGCCCACGACATTTTTCGGTTTTCCACCTTCGTGACTTTCCGATATATTTGTGTCCTGATTCTCTCTTACTTTCTGCAATCAACCTCTCTGCGAGTCCGTGCTTTCCGGTGTTATCTTCGACTGAGCCTCCTGCAATCTTTAATAATGAGTAAGTTTATCTTACTTTACAATTTGAGTTTGTGTTTTTTTATTAATATTTCTCGATTTCCATACTCCCAGTTCTTCCCTGAATCTTCATTCAACTTGCCGGCGCAAACTCTACCCTCTTTTTCTTCATCTTCTCCATCTGAAACCCTAAAAATTTTCTTTTTTGATATCTTCTCTTTTTTATTTTTCAGATTCTACTACCTCAAGTGAAAACGACCATTTTTCTGGAGAGGACATGTCTCCCCTGTCCTCATCGATCACTCCACATATCTATCATTCTCCCAACGACTCCACCGAAGAAGTTCTCCAGCCTACTCCAATCTTCATCATTTGATCTGCCTTCCCGGTTCAAACTCATCTCGACCACTCGACTTCTCCCAATCCTTCACTTCCTCCACTTCGTCGTCTTCATCGACCGTTCGAGTTGAGCGACGAACTCGACGTAGCCCTCACGGTAGAGGAGGAGGACCACGAGGTCCTTCGTCCTAACCATGCATCTTCGACCATTCCACTACCTTTCTCAACAGGCAAAAGCCAGTCTTTCGCCCAGTCATCCTCGTCGCCGAACCAAAACCTCGTGCCCTATCTCTCACCCCCATCAAATGGCTGAAACTTGACGAGGTTGGCCATCCTTTCGGCTGGGCATTTATTTGCCTAAGCGACAATGATAACTTCGACCACCCAAATAAGAATCGTTACACCTTTTTCGAGATCCAGTTCAACCAGGGAGTTCGTTTTTCTCTCTGCCCCACACTGGTAGACATGTGCAGGATATTCGGTTTGCCATTAAATAAACTTCCCACAAACTCTATCCATTTCTTGACGACTTTTATCATTCTCTTCTTTGTCTGTTTGGGTCGAATCAACCTAGACTTCTTCTTTTACTGCTACATGGGCAGGCAGGTGGGCTCCTTGAAGAGTCGAAACAATGCCCATTTTATTTATGACGTTCCCTCAAATGTTTCTAAATGAAAATATAATTTTGTCTATGTCGAGAATGACACCCCTTTTCCTTAGGCCTCGACACCTTGGCTAAAGTCTCTTTCCTTTGAGGCTGAAAGTCCTTTTCCAACCCCATATTCAACAAATGTATTCTTTTGTGGAACTCAAACCCTGTTGCCTTTATACCCTTACTAAAAGATAACCATCTTTTACACCACCGTGGCATACTCACTCATAAACACCATCCTCTACCTCTCGAGAAGATTCTTGAAGATATTCGAGTTGGTGACGTGTTAGGTAGTTTCGATCTTTGTGCTCAACCATAAATTATTATTTTTCTGCTAATTTTTCCCTTTATTCATTTGTAGATTTCACGTCTTGAATTGCACTCTCCCTCAGCAAGAGGAAGGCTCCTTTTAACAAGAAGAAATCGACCAAAAAATCGACTCCTCAACCATCTTCTGACCCAAAAACTCCACGCAACACCACTTCTCCTCTGTTGAACGAGCCTGAGTCTCATACTCCTCTAACCCAGGAGCATAGAACCGTCTTCCCCTCAACCGATGAGCATAGACTTGCCCCTCACTCGGCCAAGGAGCAAGTGTTGTTTCTTCTCCACTTGCTTTGACCAACCCCGTGGTCGACCAACCAGCCTCTCCTTCGAACGAGAAGTCACACATGTCTCCCTTGGGAAACAGCCTTTTCCCCAAAACGAAGAAAGAGCAAATGAGCTTGTCTAGAGAAAGACCTATGCACGATCATCTCCCCTCCTTCCCTGGTTAAAGCCAACGAGAAGAATATAATTTCCTTTTTTAAGGATGTTCTACCTGCCACCGACCTCCAAAGTAGTGGCTCCAACGAGACCATCGCCCGCTTATTGGCACAGGTAAACACTGAACCTATATTTTTTATTTCAAATTTCGACCTTGTGTTCTTTATGCATTAACTCCTCCTTTTGTGTCATGTGTAGAGCTTGGTCCACTTGGTTCCTCTTATCGATCAAGCTTTGTCGGGTTCAAGTCGATCCATCCCTGAGCTCGAGCAGGGCATGGCAATGTTGGCTAATCAGAATCGATTGTTAACTCAAGCGCGTCATGACTTGGCTCAAGAGCTGAAACGCGGATGGCGTTCGAGCCCTGGAGCGTGTCCTCGATGAGGAGAGGGTTGGCCAAAAAGAGGATGAGGGCATAATTATGATGGAAGCTGGTCGTGCTCGACAATTGCTTTGTCGAACCCGCCTTGGCCAGAGGTTCCTGAAAGAATACTGCGATCAGGTGGCCAGAGGTCGTGCTCGATCAATTGCTTTGTCGAACCCGCCTTGGCCAGAGGTCGTGCTCAGCAACATTTCTTCGCCCAAAATATCCAAACAATGAACATTTCTCTAAAAAAGCATGCTAAGAGACTCAATGTGTCAATCAAATCTTGACCGCCGATAAGAGTTGGGAAATATTTTATTCCTGAAAGTCGAGAATACCACTCCAAATTATCCTACCTCTCCAAAATAGAATGATAATTGCCTTTGAGACTGCCACCGGCTATCGACACCATAAAAACTCGTCTCCTATTATCACCATGCTTTGATGTGTTCATGCTCGCTCCTTTTGTCCTTGAAACTCAACGACTCATCTGCCATAGCTTATCAATACTCGAGTCATTTTGTTGTTTTCACATAAGTTGTCCATGTAGGTCTCTCAAACCCGCATCACCCAACCTATCCTCCTGATTTGTCGACACCATTCATCGAGGACGAATTACTTTGCCAAAGAGTTTATATAAATGTCCAATCCCCATGCTCACGAATTTTCCTCGACAAGAATTCAGAGAGATATCATTAGTCAAGTTATATTCACATCATCCATTTTGCAGTTCTCCACGTAAGAAAAATGAGAGATAAAATACAAACACCACCATCTCCTTGATTTAAGACATGCTCGAGCAATGACATGCTTTTAAAAAAAAGTTATGAATAATCAATTCAAACAAAATTCTACACTTTCTACAATCAAAACAGTGGTCACCGCTAGTCGGACATTACAACCAATAACAATACTTAAATTTAAGTAGCTTGCTCACCACATGAAAATCCAAATGAGAGGTTTCGAAATTTACCGATATATCAAATTATTTAATTTTAACCAATCACTCTCCGAATGCAACGAATAAACCCAACTAATTTTTCAATTTTCACCCATTTAAAAATTCGTCGGACTCATCATTTAAATTATCCACATACCTTCATCGTGATAACGTTACCTAAAGTTACCTCCCCTTCCGCGTCCTTGACTCGCCATGGGGTCACCATTCACGTTAAATCGTCTTGGGCTCGAACCGGGGCTGCTGGATCGAGCTGCGCTAATTTGGACAACTTCTGAACCATGGGGACCTGGCTGGGCTTGAGCTGGGCACGCTGCACAGGCGATGGGCCGAGCTGGTGGCGGTTTGGACAGGCAATGGGCCACATATGGGCTGTTAGGCCGCGGCTGGACCTCTAGGCCGCTAGACTGGGTCGCTTGGAGGGCTGAGGAAATGCGGGTTATTCGGTTGTTAAAACCGGACCCTCGTGGGCTGAAAAAAAGTGGAGACGCGGGCTAAAAATTGGGCCAAACACGGGCCGGAATCGGGCCCTCGCGGCCGAGAATTGTGAG